GGCAGGGCAAGGCTCTTCTCTCACCCAGCCAAGTAGAATGAGCTGTAAAGAGGGGGACCTCGTAGCAGGGGAGACACCAGTAGGCGAAGGCTGCCTGCTGAACTTGCTGAGCTGGAGAATGAATTGGGGGAAAGGGGCCAGCTGAGGGAGAAGCTGGCTAAGGCCCTACAGCAGGCTAAATTACAACCCAGCTCCACGGAGGGGAGTAATAACTGCCTGAATTACACAGCTCCAGAAGGAGGGCTGGGCACCTACCTTAAGAAGAGAGCAGGTGCCTGTTTCGCTGAAGTATTATCTGTTCCAGGAGGATAGCTGAGGACTCCTGTTTTGAGCGGGTGACCATTTGAAGTACAGTCCCAGCTCCAGGAAGGGGACCAGGACAAGAAAGCTGCCTAGGACTCTTATGCGGCCCAAGATGGGGGTGAATGAGATGACTAACAAAGCGAGTTACGTATTACAGACAAGACACACATCAGACACCATGACGAGAGTACCTGTTTTGAACCGGATAAGTTGGAGTAAGGGACTGGAAGAACTGGGGGAGGGAGCGGGGGGTTTCTGAGTGCAATGCACCCACAGGGCTACAAGACGGTGTGCTGGAGGGCAGCACCCCATGACAAGGACCAAATCCCCTTCTGAACTGTGCTGAAGCACTAATATCCAGCTCCGACAGAGACGTTGCAGTTTCTTTAAGACACTGGGCTGTCTGATGACGATCTGCAGGATAACGCCGGGCTTGGGATACAATTGCAAGCATTGCCTAGAGGATGCTGAAAGTACATTGCAGAGCTTTCAGAAAGGCAGCGTGAGGGATTTTGCAGGACTCCTGGAGAAGCGCCTCTGTGCTCCTAAAGCAATAGTGCCCTGAGGCTAGGCCTGCGGGAGTCAGGGGAGGACCTGGCTCTTTGGGGTGGATCTGAGACCATCAGCACTGCTTTCCTGTTTACGAGATCTAAAGCCAGCCTGTTGCCCATACTCAGAGTCCTGTACTGGCTGCTGGGGGTGTAGCCAGCTCTGCCTGCTCAGATTACGGCCCCTCTGCCTGCTCTTACTTCCCATCACCACTTGATTAGGTCGGGATGCTGCAGGCTCTGGAGTCCCCATTAGACACAGATTTGCCCAGGAGAGTGACTCAGACTTGGTGCCCACATTGTGGCTCAGAGGGCTGGGTACAGCTTGCAGTTGAGGCAGAACAGTGCTGTCACCGGCATGGTATGTCCAGCAGGACAAAGTAATCCCCTCAGTACAGCGCATCCTCACCCCCACCCCCACCCCCCCGTATACTCACACATTCATGTGCATCGCTGCTGTGCCATTTGCGTGTGTTGTGTCTTTGCCTTTGGACACGGAGACAATTAGCTGGGTTTCCCTCCATCGCCCCATGCAAACATTTACCCGGCCCAGAACTGGTCCTAGGGCTGGGCAGGTGTGATTGCACTTGGTGTCCCTAGTCAGTCCCCGGCTGGTGGGCTGACCCAGGGAAGGCCCCCTTTCATGTTTGCAGCAGCCCTACACAGTTCCTGCTAACTGGCGGCCGCAAGGAGCTGGAGCAGGGTTGGGGGTGCCCTCCATCCAGGGAGCAAAGGGAGGAGGAGGTGGCTGCCCTGGTGGGAGCTCTGGTCTGAGCCTACCTGGCTCTCACTCTCCCTGGTGCAGCCTCACCATGGAGAATGAGGGGAGCCCAGTCAGTGTGGCTGAGCCTCTCTGCTTTGGCCCAGGTCTGAACCCCTCTCCCATTTACCTCCTGGAGCCCTGCAGCCCTGCCCACTGCCCCTTCCAGGGCTGGCAAAGGCACAGGTGCAGCAGCAGAAGAGCCCTCCCAAGAGATGGGAAGGGAGATGGCAATCATTGATTTGGGGGGGTGATGATGGGGGTGCACTGATATTGCGGCTTCAGCTTGATGTTGGGGGGTTGGTGCTACTCCGGGAGATGGATGGGACTGGGTGGTTCCATTGCTGGGGGTGGCCTGAGGTGGTGATGGTGCTGAGGAAGTTGTGCTACAGGGAGCACTTGGTTAAAAACCTGGCTAAATTCTCTCTCCGTAAATGTTTTTCTTCCTTCCTGGATTCTCTGTGCTATTTCAGCTGGATATGGGATTCTGTTTCACTTCATGTCTACTCTCAGGCTGTGTGGTGGAGTTGTTAAACAGCTGCCTCGCTCCATCCCAGAGGTGGCTGGATTTGGATGAAATGATTCCTGTCGCTACAGCATGCAGTTTGTAAAGGGCTTTGATAATCACTAGGATGGGAGGTCCTTTAAAATATAGGATGGCATTTAATATTATAAGAGGTGGGACAGACCCATCACAGTTGCGCTGCTCCAGTTTGGTTCCAGATCAAACTTCAGTGCCCCAGTAAGCACGCCCATAAAGTAGCATCAGACTCTGGAGTCCACTTCCAGGCATAGGTTAGTCCCTGTGGCACACAGGACCCTGGCTGGGTGCATACATTGCCTCTGGCCTTGGTTTGTGTTGTGCTGCCATAGAGCCAGCAGAGGGAGCTAGGGCAGAAATAAGGAACTAAGGATCAAAAAGAAATTTCGGTTCCCTTGAAATATAACCCAGGCAGGGAAACTGCATGGAGGCCTGTGAGCGGGCGAGGTGTTTTTTTTTGGGGGGGGGAGAATGAGAGATCATTCCAGACCACAGAAAGGGGAGGCAGAGCTGCCACCATCCAACAGCCACAAACCAAGACAACAAGAAGGACCGCCCCTTTGAAAGCCATTTTTTTTAGGTGTGAGAGCTTTAAGCAGAGACATAGACAGCAGAGGAACACCACAGGGCTGGCCCCTGAGCACTCAGTTCACACCCTCCTCTGGCAAAGCTCGCCTTCACTTTGAGGAGAAGGGCTGGATGAAAACCACACTGCTCAAGCCCTGCCCTACAACCCTTGCTAAAAATCAGCTACTCTCCCTGTTCAGTAGGGATGGGTGGCAATAGGCAAAGCTCTGTGAAACAGAACCTGCTCTTTACTCACCACAACCTGTCAGTAACAACACCTGAAAGGGCTGCTGGTTCTCTTTGGCCTGTACAGCAGGGGCTGCTTGGGATTGCCATTAGCAGCTGAGAGGATGGATGCTGGTGTGGTGAAGGCACAGGGTTGGGTATAAGTAGAGCATGGGGTGTGGTCCCATCTTCTGCTACAAACATCAGCTATGCCTTTGGGGAAGTTGCACCATCTCACAGAATCTGCTCACTGTCTGGAAAATGGGGGAATGAAGAGGACCTGCCCCTCACAGGTGGAGCCCAGACATTACTGTGATGGGTGTGTTTAGAATGGTTAGTGTGAAGGAGCTGCAGGAGCTGTTAGAACATGCCCTGTTCAATAGGTGACCATGAGCACAGGATTCACTGGACTTCACTGTCTGATTTTCAGTTCCTTACAAGGGAGTAAGACAGCTATTTCTTCATAACCCAGTTCCTCTAGCCAACAAACTGCAATCACATAAGTAATTGCATGGACCTCAGTGAGACTATTTGCGTGAGCAAGACTCTCTCATGTAAGGGCTGCAGGATCGATCGCCAGGGGCTTCCATAGCTCCTTGCTAACTCAGGCTCCCATCACTAAAATTATCACAGGTCAGTTTGCAGGAGAATTCAGGCAACAGTGAAACCCAGACCTTTCAGAGGTTTGGCCTGGATGCATCTCTGAACTGGGCTAGAATGCTGGGGAAAGGTTTGACAGGGCTTCTTGCTCTAACTGGTTCTCCTTACACACGTAGGGAGACCTCAGCTCCTTGTTCCTGCTCCTCCTGTCAGCTAAGACCCTAGGCAACCTGGTTACCAGCTGACAGGCTAATGAGAACAGGCAAGGGGGTTGGCCTGGATGTGAGGGACGGGCTGAGGTTTAGACTGCAGTTGGTAGGAAACACACACACTTCAGCATTTGCAATTTAACCTACCAGACACTGTGGCTAACACACTTCTTTGTAGTAACCAGCCAGATGCACATGCGCACACCTGCTTCAACATATTCAGAGATACTTTCGCAATCATGGACACGTTCACGTGCACTCACAGGGTATGCTTCCGACCTGCACACGTTCTCTCCCCCACTCAGTGACAGATTTCCACACGTCCTGTGTCACAGGTCGACACTCCCCAGCAGTCATACACGCATTCCCTCTCACGTGAACAAACATGCTCCGTGGCTTGGCTTTCAGAATCATGCCAACAAGGAAGCCAGTCTCTTTCACAAGCAGCCCCTCCCCAGGCCTCATTCTCCCGTGCTGACAAGCACCTCACTCAGTCAAACCTGTTGACAGGGCAAGCTGCTCAAACAGCCACTTTGTGCCCAACAGGGGAAACGCCCCTTGCAGAGATGGTCCATGCGGCAGCCTGAAAAGCCCCTCCCTTCCCCTGACCCCATGTGCAGTTTGTTTCCCAGCATCCCCTTTTCAGCCATCCCTGGCAGTGTGGGGAGGACCCCACAAGTCTGACCACACTGAGCCTGTGTCCATCACTTCTGTTTGCAGGACGTTCCAGAGAGAGCAGGCATGTGGGAGGAGAACCTGGTGACACATGGCAGAAGTGAGGCCTCTGCGCAAGGCATTCTGGGACTTGTGTCCTGGTTGTGGGCTCAGAGTGATGAGGCCCGTACTCCGAGAAGCGGCAGGTTTCCGTCTGAGCCAGGAGCTGCACAACGTCGCAAGCAGTTCTGAGCAGAGCCGCTCCATGCGTAACGCTACGGCAGTGCTGGCTCTGGCAGCACGTTCCTGTGGCCGGGGGAGGAGCTAGCTGTGTGGGGTAAGGGTGGTGAGTTACCCGGGCAGGCTCCATCACCCCCACAGGAACGCATGCCTGACTCAGCAGCAGCTGACCTTGAGCTGGACCACGTCCATCAGACGGGGGGAGGTGGTGGAGCGAACAGAGCAGCGGTTGATTGGGCTTGTAAGGGACTAACAGCACTGAGTGACAGGTTACGCTCAGGGAAGGGGAAACCTAAAAATGGGGCTGGGGTGAAAGGGGTGGGTAGCCACACACTTCTCTCCCTGCAGGACTCTAACATGACACCCTATTTATTTTCCTGTGCGACAGTACAGTACAATGCACATACATCACCAGCCACAAGATGTGAGTTCTCAGATGAGATTCCATGGCACCTGCTCCCTGAGGAGTTCAGAGGAGAGTTTGTAGCATTACCCCCATGTTACATGTGGGGAAACTGAGGCAAGGAAAGCACTTGCCCAAAATGACACAGTGACTCCATAGCAGAGCTGGGAATAGAATCCAGAAAAATCCTGGCTTCCAGACCCTTGCTCTCACCATTAGTTCCCATTCCCTCTCAGAGTTGGGAATAGTACCTAGGAGTCCTGGCTCACAGTCCCCTGCTCTAACCACTAGATCATTCTCCCCTTAGATAAAATTCCTGTAGATTTCACAGGCATTAAACCAATAGGATTCGGTACAAACTACTGAAAACGCTATTGGATTCCATAAGGAATTATTTCCTCTCTAGGGGGTTTGAACTATCTTGGAGAATTCTAGGGCAGGGATGCATTTCTCTTAAATGCTATAGGATGGTTTAAAAGGGGAAGGGGCTAGAAAAAGTTCTCCTTTCCTATTCAAGTCTACAGGATGTTTCCATAATGGTACTTCCCAGAGCTGGGAACAGAGAGACTCCCAGGCCCCCTGCCCTGCCCACTATATCATACTCCCACCTCTCTCATTGCTAGAATAGAACCCAGGAGTCCTGACTCCCAGAGCCCCTGCTCTCCCATCCCTCTCTGCTATAGAGAAGCTTATGCTCTGACAGCCACGGCCAGCACCATGCGTTACAAGAAAAGAGTCTCAATAGCCTTTGTGGAGTACGGACAGGAATGGTCAGGAAGGCAAGTGTGCTGCGGAGAATGGAGGCGAGCAATAATTGCCCAGGCTTCTCCCACCAGTTCCTGTCAGTACGGAGAATGGTGCATCCGGCTCAGGAAAGCAATGACCCAGTTACCCAGCCGGGACCCCTTCAGCCGCAGGAAGAGTTCATATAAGTTGATCTGCCACAGGCTCAGAGCTTCTAAGAGAGAGATCTTGGCCTTTCTGTACAGGGAGTGAGACTTGCTCCTCTGATACCTGGGCAAGGGAGAGAAACAGCTGCATTAATCTCCCAGGACACAGCCCAGCAGCAGGATAGATCTTGGATCTTGAACACCAGGAGCACCTTCCCCTACCCCCTTCCCCCGCCCCTGGGTGCCAGTTGTCTGCGAGGATCCCAGCCTTTGAGTAGCCCTACCTCTGTGGGATCCCAATTGGCTGGTAGGTCAGGGTTTCCCGGGTTAAATGTTCCCCAGGAGAGGAACGGTCCCTCCCAGCAAAAATGGGAGAGAGGAGAAAGGCTGCACAAGTGCAAGGAGCTTGAGATCAGGAGTTACGAACTCCTGGGTTCTGTTTCCACAGCTGGTGCTGACTTGTCTTTGCCTTCCCTGTTCTATGCCTCCATCTACCCATCTTTAGTGGGGTGGTGGGGTGATAGCACCTTCCTTCCCCCATCCCAGGGACATTATTCCATTAGTCAAAGTGTTTGACATTGCAGGGGGCTATCCAAGTGCTAACTATCATTATCAATAATAATAGTTAATGATAAGCACTCACCACATGGTTTGTGTTTATGTAATCAGATCCCTGAACAACACAACATTCGACTGGTCCTTATAGAGAACCATCACTGCTAACACTGCTCCAGGACCTCTCGCCTAAGGCTCTCAACAGTGCTGGGAAACATGCACTCTCCTGACTCTTGTCAACACAGTACTGGGCCCCTCTCCAGTAACTCAAGTTAACAGAGCATCACGACACCCTTGTGAGGCAGACACGTAATTGTTATCCCTACTGTGCAGATGAGGAAACTGTGGCACAGAGAAATTAGATCATGGTATCTGGCTGGTGAATCTTGCCCATACGCTCAGGGTTCAGCTGATCGCCATATTTGGGGTCGGGAAGGAATTTCCAATCTGCCCTGGAGGAAAGAGGCCCTGGAGGTTTTTTGCCTTCCTCTGTAGCATGGGGCACGGGTCACTTGCTGGAGGATTCTCTGCTCCTTGAAGTCTTTAAACCATGATTTGAGGACTTCAATAGCTCAGACATAGGTGAGAGGTTTATCGCAGGAGTGGGTGGGTGAGATTTTGTGGTCTGCATTGTGCAGGAGGTCAGACTAGATGATCATAATGGTCCCTTCTGACCTTAATATCTAATATCTAGATGACTGACTTGCTCTTTGATTGGCAGCCAATGTCAGAATCAGGGATAGAACCCAGGAGCCGCACCCCCTAACCACAAGGCCATGCTGTGAGACAGGCAGCTGTGAAGTTTGGGTTCTTTTTCCATCAGCCATTTCCGGTGGGGACATTAATCAGATCTGGGAGGAATTATGATTCCACAATAAAAAATTTAGTACGAAATCCCCAATATTTCCAGCTTTCCCCCCACCTCCCCCCCGTTCCCATTTCTGTCTGGCTCCAAGTTCCTGCTGAGAGGTCCTTCCCTATGGAGACCTGGGTGGGGGGTAGGACAGGGGAGAAAGAAAATGAGATTGAGAAAGAAAAAAGGGGGGCGGGACCTTGACAGACATGCTAATGAGGGGAAGGTTCAGATAAGACAGGGCTGTTTTAGAAGTTCCAGAGCCGCCATCTCTGCAGAATCTAACTAGGGGACAAGAGGCAGGAAGGGCCCAGTGGAGGCCGGGGCTCCTGTCTCAGAGACTCACGTGGAGACGGCTCTAATGCAGCAGCGAGACATATTGAGGAAGGAGCTGGCACTGGCCCGTGTGTGTAGGGCTGACTCAATCCCCCTTAGCAAATCATTGGTCTTTAGCAGCAGCAGCATCTGGCGGGGCACATTGTTGAGGAGCTGGTTGATCTGAGGTAGGTAAGCGGCAGCATTGGTCCGGATCTCCACATCCTGAGCACCGTCACAGCAGAGGGGAATGGGGAAGAAAGAGAGGAGAGAGATGTTAACAAAGCCATCGGAGTCTACTGCTGCTTCTGCAGGGCAGACTGGAAGAAGCGTCTGCTGAGGAGATTGCATCTGTATTCCAGCAGCTAACGGGCTCCAGCCTCCACCTGCTGCCTCTCTGCAGAGGCCTGTCTGCACAGGAGACTGGGGCAGAGCAAACAGAGCAGGTGGAGAGCCAACCTCACCCGTGAGAGCCTGATTGAGTCTGTCTTGACCGACTTCGCAATTTGCTCCCATTTGCTGCCTTCAAGCGGCTTCCTGGCCTGCAGCTGGCTGCAGCTCCCGGGTCAGCCACAGCGGGTTGCTCAGTGACTCTGTGCCCCAGCAGCTGGGCAAGTTGCCTCTGCAGGGTTCTCAATGCTTTATTCCCCACCCTCACTCTCACCTGCATAGCGAGTCACATCGTGATACGGAGACTTCCCCATACGGGGTTAAGAGCCTTTCAGAGTCAAAGGGACTTGCTACCATCAGAAGTGTCTCTCCTCTTGGACCCTAGGTCAGAAGCACCCAGGCCTGTATATAGCTCGTCATGGCCCCTGCTGCCTTCAACCCAAGCTTCACCACACCCGCCCCCAGCCGGAAACACTGCCTGCAGTGGGAGAGTGCTGCAGGCACCAAGCAGGACTTAACTGGGCGTTTAGGGAGGATTCCCCACACCAGCAAAACATATCAGATGGCCGCCCAGCCCAGGCACTTTACCTTTCTGCTCTAGCTAGTAGTTTGTGGTGTACCAGCTAAGCAATAACAGGGTACTGAATTGCGCTGGTCAGGAATTTTTCAGTGGACCTTTTTCTTTTTTTTCCCACAGGAAAGGGCCAGTTTCCACTAACTTGAGTCCAGAAGGGTTCTCACGTGTGGGAGGGACTCTCTGGGCAGAGAGAGAGACAACCCCACCCCAGGACAGCCACATGCCTAGGGCTTAGAGCACTCACCTTGGGGGCAGGAGAGCTGGGTTCCAGTCAGAAAGAGCAGGAACTGGAAGTTGGGTTTCCCACATCCCCAGTGAGGGCCCTAACCACTGGGCAATTGGCTGCTGTTCTCTGCGAGTGTCTTTTTCATGTAAGGGCTCTGTCTCAGTGCGGAACAGGAAGAAGTTTTGAATTCTTTTTGCAGTACAGGAAAACTGAGTCCTGTCCAGCTCTAGTACTGAACAGATTGTGCCCAACGCCTGGCATGTGAGAAGGGCTCCCAGTGTCCCTGACTCCAGCCCCAAACACCCTGCCCAAGAGGCAACTGTCCCTCATGTCGGTCTCCCTGACAACCATACGAGGAACATCCTGGGAAAGAGAAGCCTTGCGATGAATCCTGGTGTTGGCCTACAGTCAAACTCTTTGGGGGGGCTCTGAGCTACCAGAGATGGGCTCTCCCTCCAAAACCAAACCAACCCCGTAACAGGGATCAACCCCATCTCAATATTCCCTCCTTGGCAAAGCGGGGCCTGGACCGAGATAGCAGGGTGAGCCTAGAGGTGCACTGGCAGAGCTGCATGTGTGGGAGCCTAGGACTGGAGTTGCAGGAGGTGCTGCAGGATCAGGAATGAGATGCATGGCTGAGCTGTTGGGGGGAAGCTTGTCCATTTCATAGAATCATAGAATCATAGAATATAAGGGTTGGAAGGGACCCCAGAAGGTCATCTAGTCCAACCCCCTGCTCGAAGCAGGACCAATTCCCAGTTAAATCATCCCAGCCAGGACTTTGTCAAGCCTGACCTTAAAAACCTCTAAGGAAGGAGATTCTACCACCTCCCTAGGTAACGCATTCCAGTGTTTCACCACCCTCTTAGTGAAAAAGTTTTTCCTAATATCCAATCTAAACCTCCCCCACTGCAGCTTGAGACCATTACTCCTCGTTCTGTCATCTGATACCATTGAGAACAGTCTAGAGCCATCCTCTTTGGAACCCCCTTTCAGGTAGTTGAAAGCAGCTATCAAATCCCCCCTCATTCTTCTCTTCTGCAGGCTAAACAATCCCAGCTCCCTCAGCCTCTCCTCATAACTCATGTGTTCCAGACCCCTAATCATTTTTGTTGCCCTTCGCTGGACTCTCTCCAATTTATCCACATCCTTCTTGAAGTGTGGGGCCCAAAACTGGACACAGTACTCCAGATGAGGCCTCACCAATGTCGAATAGAGGGGGACGATCACATCCCTCGATCTGCTCGCTATGCCCCTACTTATACATCCCAAAATGCCATTGGCCTTCTTGGCAACAAGGGCACACTGTTGACTCATATCCAGCTTCTCGTCCACTGTCACCCCTAGGTCCTTTTCCGCAGAACTGCTGCCTAGCCATTCGGTCCCTAGTCTGTAGCTGTGCATTTCCTGCTTACACTCTCCTGGCTCTTGCTAGAGCTGTCAGTCCTACTCAACAAGAATCCCAATGAACCTAGGGCAGTGTAATGGATCTTCACACACATGGGCTTTCCCTGCATCTGTTGGAGGAGAAGGTATTTGTGTTTGTTTGGTTTTGTATTGGTAGTATCTGTATGTGTAGAGGCTTGTAGGGGCTTTGTGCTGGGAGAGAAGCTGAGCCCTGATTAGGGGGCGGGGCTTCACTGACTAGGGGTCCTATAAAGGCAGCAGCCAGTCAGGCAGCGCACAGGAGCTAGCAAACAGAGCTGTAAACAGGGGGTTTGAGTGGGAGTTTGTCTTGTGGTGCTTGTGTGGGGTTTGTTTTTGCTGTGGGTGGTGGTGTTTGGGTGTGGTTTGTGTTTCCCTGATTAACAGGATTTAGGTGGGAAGGCTATGACAGATTCAGAGGTGGCAGTGGGAGTGACCCATGTAGCAGATGACACAATGAAGATGACTGGATGTGGAAGCTGTGGTATGTACATGATCCTGGAGGGGCACCTGGTAAGAGTTTTGTCTGCATGAAATGCCGTCTGATAGAGCTGATGGAGGAAAAGATCAGAGGTTTGGAGATGCAGGTGGAAAGTCTGGTAGAGTTTAGGAAGGGGTTTGAGCAGATTATGGAGCAAAGACATGAGGTATCTGAAGGGAAAAGCTTAGACTTGCAGATGGAAGCAGGACTAGGGAATTCTGAGGGGAGACTGGGTGAGGAAAGTGGTCAGTGGAAGCATGTGACTAAAAGAACTAGGCAGAGGAAAAGACGGGCTAGTGAAGGAGAAATAGAGCTTCAGAATAGGTTTGCAGAGTTGGAAAATGACGAAGGGGCTCAGCAGGTAGTCACTGAAGGTGACAGGGCAAGGAAGAAGAGAAGAGCGGTTAGTCCTATAGGAAAAGGGGAAGAGTTAATGGAGATTACACCAAATATGAGCCCCAGGAGGATACAGGATGGGTTAAAAAGGATTACAAGGGAGAATGGGAATGGAAAGAACTTGCAGCCAGAGGGAACAGGGGATAGACTGGAGAATAGCACCGTCACTAGGAAAAGGCAGGTCTATGTGATTGGGGACTCTTTACTGAGAAGAATAGATAGGCCTGTAACCAGAGCTGATCCAGAAAATAGGAGGGTGTGCTGTCTTCCAGGTGCTAAGATACGGGATGTAGACCTGAGGTTGAAAAGGATTCTAAAGGGAGCGGGAAAGAATCCCTAATTATCCTTCATGTGGGAACAAATGATACGGCTAGATTCTCGCTGGAAAGTATTAAGGGAGACTATGCTAGGTTGGGGAGGACGCTTAAGGAAATTGAGGCTCAGGTGATCTTTAGTGGGATTCTGCCTGTTCCTAGAGAAGGGCAACAAAGGTGTGACAAGATTATGACTATCAATAGATGGCTTAGGCAGTGGTGCTATAAGGAGGGCTTTGGGATGTATGGTCATTGGGAGGCATTCATGGATAGAGGACAGTTCTCTCGGGATGGACTTCATCTGAGTAGGGAAGGAAATAGACTTCTAGGATGGAGGTTGGCACAACTGATTAAGAGACTTTAAACTAGGAATTTGGGGAGATGGTTGGGAGATGTCCAGGTAATCTCCACGCCAGAATTTAGCATAGAGTGGAAAGAAAATGAAGTAAGAGTGGATACAGCTGTAGGTAGGAGGAAGGGCAGTGTAGATACAAGTCTAATAGGTTATACTGGTAGTAAAATAACCGTGCCTAATAGGGTACAGAATGTGAGTGAGGCCAAACAGCAAAAATTAAGATGTTTGTACACTAATGCAAGGAGCCTAGGTAATAAAATGGAGGAACTAGAGTTACTGGTGCAGGAAGTGAAACCAGATATTATAGGTATAACAGAGACCTGGTGGAATAGTAGTCATGACTGGGCTACAGGTATTGAAGGGTATGTCTGTTTAGGAAAGACCGAAATAAAGGTAAAGGTGGTGGAGTAGCACTGTATATCAATGATGAGATAGAATGTAAAGAAATAAGAAGCGATGAAATGGATATGACTGAGTCTGTCTGGGCAACAATTAAATTGGGGAAGAAAACTATTAGAGCCTCCCCTGGGATAGTGCTTGGGGTGTGCTATAGACCGCCGGGATCTAATTTGGATATGGATAGAGCCCTTTTTAATGTTTTTAATAAAGTAAATACTAATGGAAACTGTGTGATCATGGGAGACTTTAACTTCCCAGATATAGACTGGAGGACGAGTGCTAGTAATAATAATAGGGCTCAGATTTTCCTAGATGCGATAGCTGATGGATTCCTTCAGCAAGTAGTTGCTGAACCGACTAGAGGGGATGCCATTTTAGATTTGGTCTTGGTGAGTAATGAGGACCTCATAGAGGAAATGGTTGTAGGGGATAATCTTGGCTCAAGTGATCATGAGCTAATTCAGTTCAAACTGAATGGAAGGATTAACAAAAATAAATCTGCAACTAGGGTTTTTGATTTCAAAAGGGCTGACTTTCAAAAATTAAGGAAATTAGTTAGGGAAGTGGATTGGACTGAAGAATTTATGGGTTTAAAGGTAGAGGAGGCCTGGGATTATTTTAAATTAAAGCTGCAGAAGCTATCGGAAGCCTGCATCCCAAGA